TCTTTTTTTTTTTCATTATTAAAATGATACATGTATGTACAGTTGTAAATTATCGTGCGTGTACATAATATGGAGAAGCGATTATATCAGCGAATGAAATGAATAAAATGCAGTGAAACGTTTTGCTGGGACAAGCAACATTGAAAAATTATTAACTGTGTTTTAATATATTTAGAAGTAACGTTTAACATAAAGGTACAACATTCGATACTCTGATATAAATTTTAGTCAGAAAAAAAAGTATAGATTTTTCAGATGATTTATTGAATACTCGGTAAAAGCGGAAGCACTGTTCGAAGATATACGTGTAATTTAACGAGAGAAGGGAATTTTAACTTCAATTTGCGACCTGTTAAATACGACAGACAGAAATTGCTTTAAAAAAAGAAAAATTGCTTAAACGTAAAATAGCAAAGTACAAATCAATTACAAGACAGTTTGCATGTTTTAAACTTAATCATCGAAACAATTACGGAGATTTAAAACTTAAAATTGAAAGCAATCGAAACTGTCGAATAGAATAGACATTGTGCACTCTAACTTTACTTTCTAATGCTTTACTTTAAAAAAAAAAAAAAAAAAAAGAAAGAAAGAAAGAAAGAAAGAAAGGAAATTAGTCATTTATTGGTTCGTAAAATGGCATAAAGTGGCGCAGCGCAGGGGTTAACAGCTCTTGCGCGCCACTGACATAATCGAACGTACGATCAGAGAACGAGCACGTGTGCTCGACAAACGTGCCCGTGACACGGATCAGATTGATCCGCGCTCGGCTCGTGAACACACACGACAGTGAAAACCGAGTCAAGAGTTGGAAGCGATCTGCACGCGAATCTGATCGCACCGAGCGATCCGACACGTGTACATGGGCGTGAAAACGGGCGTCGATTAAGTTTACTCAGGACTTTAAAGGCAAGCTCGTGGCCGCTGCGCACCAGGATGCAAAGTGAGTTTGCCACAGTCTTTGAAAATATACAAGATTTTCATTGAATTAGAATTCGTCAATTTAACTTTGAAATGG